CCGGTCGTAGAATCCAGAAAAATAATAAATATTCAATTTAATATTATTATTTATAAATTGAATCACAATTAGATTTTTAAACACGTTTTCACACGCCTAATTACATGTCATTTATTATTATCGTTTAACATGTGTGTTACCAATAATGATACAAACATTATAATTAAATAATATCATTGAAATTTTTATTGTGTTTGATAGAAACACGTTTAAAAATTTAAAACAATCGAAATAGGGCACCTTTTTCTATGTCGTAAACATATTAATTAATTATGTTTCACATCTTTTTTTTTTAATCGTAATTCAATAAATTTTCAAACACAAAAGAAAGAAGAGCAAATATATATATGTGCGTGTAAATATTTATTATATTTATGTTAAATCGTATCGAATGAAAATATGATGTTAGATCAATGAATTATTTCTGGATTCGTAAACCAAAATGTATGACCTGTATTCGCGAATGCAATTTGAACTTCTCAGGTTTGAAAATGTTGTGTTCACTAAAACACGATATAAATGCGTTAATAGTATTACGATTAGAGAGAACACCAAGACACATATAAACCTGGTCGAGATCGGTATTAAATCCGATTCTTTGTATTAATAATACAAACACATTTTTGTTATATTTATTTTATCCTTAGATTCCTTAAATTCTTAATTGCAGCACACACATTCCTCTTACAAGCAAAAGATCACTATCTCTCTCTCTCTCTCTCTCTCTTACTATTCTCTTTTGCCTTACAACTATTTTTTGGAACGATATCTATCTACTTTTTTGTTTAAGAAAGTAGAAAAAGTGTATGTATATGTGTGTGTGTGTATATCACCTATAAATAAATACTATATTTCTTATTTATTGGAATACTTTAAAGCAATACGCCAACGTCTTACTTAAACGTGGGAAAAATAATTGAAATGAAAAACAAAAAGAAAATAACAAAAAAGTACACAAGAAAAAACCGCAGTAAATGGAAAACAAGGGTTAAAGCAAACAAAAAAAGAAAAACAGAAAATAAATGATGGGAAAATGTATTGACACGTGGGAAAGAGAATACAACAAAAAATAATAGCAATATTCAATAAAAGAATCATTTATAATAATCATCCTGATCACAAATAAAATATTTACAAAATTTGTGTTTCTCTAAAATTAGAAACGTCCAAAATTGGATCAAATCTTGAAAACTAACGAAGAGGATCGTAATTCGAAACTCGACTTTGTCAAAACGAGAAACAATAAAATAAATCTAAAAAATAATTCAAACGTTATATTCCGTTAGAAAATGAAACGATTTAATTGTAAATAAAAAGAAAAAAAAGGTAAAAAAAAGAAGAAGAGGAGGAAGAAATATGCAATGCAAAAGAAAAGCAAAACAAAAAAATCATTTTTAAATTATCTGATGATAATGATTGAATATGATCGAACGATATATTGAACAAAACAACGGATGATTAAAAATACAGAATAAAAGAAAAAGGGTTTGATTAAGGGCAAGGCAGGGCAGGGGTTGGGATTGTCAGAATAGAAAAATTAAAAACCAAAAAAGAAAGAAAGAAAGAAATTACAAAAAAAAAAAAAAATAAGAAGAAACAAGAGAAAAATTAGAAGGGCAGAAAAAGGCACGCGTGCCACAAAAAGGTGTCTCGTTTTGAGACAAGAACAACCTTTTTTTCGCCTAAGAGC